GTTTAGCCTAATCAGCATTGGCTCGTTGCCGTGTTGCCTCGTTATTGCAGTCGCTGCCTGCAGGCAATCTCACGCCCTTTGACTGCGCTGAGTGGGCGTTATTTCTCAGCTGTCTCAAACCTCTTTATTACTTGCCTTAGGTTTCACTCTCAGCATTGGCAAATGAAAGTAAGGTAACAAGCCTCAGTGACGAGGCAAATTGCTTGCACAGCATCTATCCAGCTAGCTTATATCATTAAGTACTTTAGAGACGGAGACGCAGCTGCTTTATCACTCGGCCCCGCCGGCCATAAATAAAGCACGAGCATCTGAACGAATCTCCATTATGTGCAATAAATAACAAAATATGCCGCTGATATGCGACCGGAATGTGAGTACAAGATAGATTCTAGTATCGGAGGCCGCTGTGCCGCTCTTGGCGCATAATTAAGTGGATTTTAATGAGCGTCGGCCCGAGCAGGAGCCTCGACCGTTCCCGGCTCGGAGTCAAATAATAATGGGCTCAGTTGTGCGCCGCTCGGGCTTTGATTTGTGGCCACTTGGGCTGGCTATTTAGATTAAGCATACGCCGCGCGCCACAAGCCCCGATTCATAAATGTCACGACGAAGCCAAATGAATACATTCAGTGGAGAGTTAAGAGTTGAGTTGAACCACTCGAGCGGGGCTACAGTTTATTACAGCTACGTGCCGGGCTAACTCAGGACATGGTTGCTGATGACTTTCGTTCTCTTTTGGATTTACTTCGCTTGGATTGCGCCGGAGACTGGGTGCGCTGCTCTGTCGGTTTATCCTGCTGCTCGACAATGCGCTGGAATAAGAGTGCACTGCTCTGCTCGTCCAGCTGATGGCTCTCGGGCCCGTTGCCAACAGTGGCCGGAGTGGCCGGAGTGGCGAAGCTCTCGCCCAAATGCCGCCAGCTGCGCTGTGCTATGGGCACGTTCAGCTTATCGAGCAGGCGGCTGGTCAGCTGCGGCATCATTGGCTGCAGCACAATGCCGCACAGCCGCAGCGCGTCCATTGTCATAGCGATGATTGTCTGGAGGCGTTGTGCGTTGGGCGAGCTGCCGCCCGCCTTCAGCTCCCAGGGCTTGGCGCACTCAAAGAAATTGTTAGCCGCATGGAGTGCCGCGATGGCCGTGTCCGCCACCAAGTGGAAGTGATTGCCTTCGTAGTGCTGCTCGCAGCGCCCTGCGAATGCAAATGGGAATGAAAATGGAGGGCATTACTTGGCTGCTTTCTGGCTGGCCGCACTCTCGAGTGCACTTCGCCCACAGCTATGTATTTTGCCGGAAATGCGCTTGCCAGCGACACACAGGCAACAAACTTAGCTTCACTCAGCCACTTCGCAGCGGCTGCTTAAATATTAAAATGACAAACACGCCGACTTACCAGCCAGATGGAACAGCGCCTCCTGCAGCCGCTTGCCAGCATCCAAGTGCTGCAGCAGCTGTGACAAGTGCTCCACATGCGGCTCCGGATACATTTGATGCGGGTTCAGCGACTTGGCACAGGCGCGCGACAGCAGATTGCCCAAAGTATCAGCCAGCTCCGAGTTTAAAATGCGCAGCGCCTTCACGTGACTGAAATCTGCAAAGGTTTAAGCGATTTAGCAGCGTCAGCAAAATATTCACCTAAAAGGCTCCACCCATGCCGCAATTAAACTGGACGCCTGATTGATGTTCCCCCCATCGACGGCCAGCCAAGCTCCAATGGCCAACCATTTGGCTCTTAACTGCCTGCAGCATGGCCTCGTTGTCCATTAGGGCGATTATAGCAACAACAAATGCCAAAACTGAATAATGTGCTGCTGGGCCACGTCCAAAAGGCTGTTCGGCCGATAAACTCATGTTAAAGCAAATACGACAAGGCAAATAAATATGCATGCGAATCACTAAGCGAAGCGAGGGCCGCACACACAGCTGCAGCATGCAAATGCCAAAGTAAACTGTTGCCACAAATCCAATCCAGTTCAGCTCGAAATAACGCATTTTTCAAATCTGCTGCAAATGTTTAAGTTGCTCAGCGATGCAAAGGATTCTCTACAATTTGTACATCAATTTGGCCCTGCTGCTCGATGCTAAATGATGCTGGCTCAATTTATAAATGAGGCTGCGACGGATGACGACCCTGAAGTGATTTGTATGCAACTTTAACTTTTGCAATATGCACAATATAGATTGAATGTTTATAGTATAGATGATGAACCTTGACTTAACTACGTAACTTTAATTTACTTGATATAGATTCAATATATTGTATAAATGATAGACCTGAAGTGATTTGTATACATGTTCAAAGATCAATATCTACTCTATATAGAATTAATATATAGTAAAGATGACGATATTTTAGTGATTCGTATGCAAGTTAAAAGATCTACTCTACATATATATAAATTACATATAAACATACAATATAGATATAAAAAAAGTAACTTTATATATAGTACAGATGACGATAAGTTAAGAAATTCATATATACTCGATATAGATCCAATATATGATACAGATGGCAAGAAGTTGAAACCCCGATATATACTCTAAATAGATTCAATATATAATGACGATCCTAAAATGATTTGAATGCAAGTTAAAAGATCATTATCTACTCTATATAGATTATATATGTACACATATATTTAGATATATATACAAATGTATTCATATACCAAGAGGGTTCTTTTGTTATACTTTAACATTTGTGCACCAAAAATATCACAATACTATGAATATAAAATATAATTATAAAAAATAAAAGTATCTACTAATTATGTATTGGCCATAGAGTAGAGAGAGAGACTAATAGTTTGCCAGAAATCATTTAGTTTTTCTATTCATTTATACTAATTTCGCTTAATTAAGCAAGACTGACGTCCTTTGCTCTAAATTTTTTTCAGCAGCTCTTTACTTTACAACAAAACATTTAAAAATATTGCAGAAAAATCAACTCAGTTGTGGCGCAATTTAAAGCTTAAGCCAACATCCAGGCGCAGATTGGCAAAAAGTATTAAAAACGTGGCAGCCATGGCAACCTGTATTAATGAAGACCCAAAAAAGTTGATTCGGTGCCAACATTCGATACGCTGTTGCCGGAATAATAATTCATATATTGGACCGAGGCAACCGAAATTGAAGCGCAGTCTCGAAGCATTGCCACATGCAATACTTCACACCTAATGAATGAAAGCCAGAAAAAGTTCAATCATTTTACTGGCTGCAAATATGCCAGATAATGGAGGCGCTTACGTGCGTTTGCTTAACATAATGGACAATGCTGTGTGTCATTCGGATTCATTGTGGCATTGCGATGCCCGTTCAATTGATTAGCAGCACTGCACCCGCTCAACTGGCCAACACTAAATAAGTAAATGGATAACAATTGGCACTGAGCTGGGTTTATTTACCTGCCCAACTGTTTACTGAGCGCGACAATATTAGTTACATTTCATTCCCAATTAGCGTCGCTAATAATGGCCGACATCATTATCTGGGCGAAGGCATCCGATTCGCACGGGCGAATATCGGAATTTCGCATGCAGCGTTAATTAAAATACATGAAATTTGATTTGCATGCGACAGGCGCATCCGCAGGTCGCCGCACGGCCCGAACAATGGCCGCCAATCAAAGTTGGCCATTGCATAATTTTGGCCAACAATGCATTGCAGTTGCCCGTCCATGTTGCCAGTCCATGTTGCTGCCAGTTGCGACTGTTGTTATAGGTAATTAAAAGTTTGCCGCATTGGCCGTGGCTGATGCATAAATTGCACCTGGCATACGGCCAGCTATTGGGACAATTGATTGACGTTGGCTTCTCTAATATAAACAGATTTCGTTGCTAATTAGTTGTAGCCATAGGAAATCATTGAGTCACTGCAGCCCGGTAACTGCGTGCAGCGCACTCAAATTCGCATTCGCATTCGCATTCACATTCAAAAATTCAAATTCTAAGCTCCTGTACAGCAACACACACAAATACTACTTGTTATTCAAGTATGCATAAAACTCGCTGTGGTTTTACAGTGCAGGGAATTGCATTTCCATGTCGAGAACTTGAGCCCAGCTCCGGTAGTTGAGCAGCTGTCGTGTGTTCCGAAAACAAAAACAAACACAAAATACAGCAAATGCATATGCATGCGCATTACACCTACACTAACGAGAGTGTAAATGTGTGTGAGTGAGTGGGGCTCTTGCTGGGGGTATTTCGCTCTCTGTAACCTGAGGTTTGACAGCGACCAGAGTTTCTTACTCCGCCCTCCCCCCTCATTTTTTTGGCCAAGCAGCTGCGGCGACCAAAAGTGTTGCCTGCTTCTGGGCGCCCCACATCATTAATGCAATTGTATTGTCGCTGCCTGCTCAACTTTTTGCTGCCGCCGAACTCTGCTCCAAAGTCAAGTTGGCAACCCACTGAATTTGAATGCCAAAGCACACGGGCGTGCAGTCACATGCTTAAATACAATACCTACACACGTATGCAACATGGCTCTGCTTGACGAACAAATGAATATTTCGGCCAGCCAATCGCATGACTCTCGCAACACCCTGTGTGGAGTCGAGTTTTCAAAATCCCAAGGCTGATTCATTGCAGTATAACAAGTATAATCCATACATGCATCAGTTTCTCTCTCGTAATCTCTCGTAATTCTCTACCTCAGTGTTTCTTCTGGTCTTCTGGTTTCTGTTTTCTTTTGCTATGATGTTCTTTCTCTATCTCTCTCTCGTCTGTCTCTCTTTCATTCTCTCTTTCGGTTTTACTGTCGATTCTTTTCTTAACTCTTTTTTCTTCTTTTTCTCTCTTTCGAGTCAATTCCTTCCAGCTTAGCTTTAGTTCTCCTCTAAGAATGGTCTTCTTTGCTGCATGTTCAATTCGCAGGCACACATACACTCACATGCAGCACTGCACCACTGTATAATGTAGTCTGGTATACCCATGTGATTGATGAGCATTGGAAATTCATTCAATTTGCTTAAACGAGTGTTGAATTGAATTGAATTTAGTTTTCAGTTGAGCAGCATTTGATTTTCTATGCATTGCATTGTGAGGGCCAGGGCATTGCTGACTGCAAGTTACGTTCGGCTTGAATCGATCGCAGCTGGAAAGAGAAATTGCGAAATGTACTCAAACATTGGCTGGCCCACTTCACAGCCATTTGGGTAGCAATTATGCCGACGCGGGTTAGTTTTTGATGCACGGAGGGGCGAGCCCGCAACACGTGGCCCCACAGCAATGTTTCGCCATCCCAATCGCAGATGCAATCGCACTCGCAATCACTATCGTAATCGCAATGCAACCAACTCTGTCTGCCGGCCGGGCCGTGTTGCTTTTAACTGCTTACGTGTGCGGCAGCAACAACAGCGCCGACTCCTGCGACATGAGGCGCGTTACAGCCCACGGGGCACATGCAATGCCAGGTGCAGCAGCAGCAGCAGCAGCGGGAGTGGGAGCAGCAGTCGCCGCCATAACATCCGTAATTTCGCCAAAGTTTTGCACATGTTGCACAAAGGAGCACGTGACTGCCGTACTAGATGGGGGTCGCTGGCCCATAGACAAATGTTGTGCCATTTGTTGCCCATAGCACAAAAAACAACAAAAACTTCCATACCGTTCGCGTTCTTTGTTTTTGTATTTTTGGCCGACTTCAGGCACTGGAAATTGCTTAAATGACTTGTCGCATGTTTTTTCCTGTCACCTACAAAGCTTTTGGCCCTTTTTTTTTTGCTGCTACTCCTTCGGGCAACTGACTATCCCGGCCGTAATCCCGCTCTCTGTCTATATATGTGTGAGCCATTTTTTGCAAATTACATCGCTGTCAGACTTGCAGCCACACCCTCTGGAATTTCGGGTGGCCCCGGGGCGGAGAAATGCCAGCCTGATGAGCGTCAACGTCAACTATTTGAACGCTTTTATATAACGCCCATTGCCGAATTTAAAAGCACCTAAAGCGACGCAGTCTCACGCCTTCGTTGGGCTCAGTCGCATGGGAGTGGATCAATAAATATCAATATTTATCAATATTTACATAAATCTTTATGGCATTGCAGTTTTTTTCAACTTTTTCGACAGCTTTTTTTTATACGGCTGCTTCATTTTCATGGTAATAACAGTGCCCTGTGCCCA